TATGTAAGATTTCACGGTAATTATTTTCTTTAAAGAGTTGAATGCTAAACTTTTCAAAGCTCAAGAAAATAAAACTTGTATTCAATAAATTATTTTATAAAATAAAGTTTTTTTTTTTTGGCTTTTTTCTCTTTTTGAAGTAGTTGACATTCAAATAAATGCAGAGGGAGCAGCTGCCGTTATGCGTACCCATCAGCAAGACCAGGAGCGCGTCACGAGACGCGGCTTCATGGCATCTTTAGTAATTTAACAGGTTTCCAAGGGCAGTCGTTTAAAGGGTGCATCTACCTGGAAGGCCAACAATGCTTCACATTCTTCGAAGCAACAGCTACTTACTTTTATAATTAATTTTTGGTGAACCTACTTTTCTTTATTTATATTTGAGCCTACATTTTGCCTTCTTTTATTTATTTATTTCCCTAACCCCTTTGTTCTTCGCCCTTTTTACAGATCATAGAAAGCTAAAAAGTATGGAATTATGTAGTAGAGATATACTAATAAAAAAATATTTAATTTTTTAAAAAATAGACGGTAAATAACAACATACTTATATTTACATTAATTTTAGAGAGATTTTTTTTATTTTTTTCAAGACATGAGATATAAATAAATATATCTCATCTGTGTTAATTATTCTTCTTTTATTTAAAAATAGTAATGTAACACTATTTAAGATATTGAAGTTACTCACCCTTGAATTTATTTTATTAAAAATAAATAGAATACTATTTGTTTTCCATAATTATTAATTTCTAATTTAAAAATATGTTGAGTTTTTTTTTCATGGTTCTTAATCCCTAATTTAGAAATTAGTGATACTAATAATTTATGTCTAAGAGGTGTTTTGAAAAGATAGGATAGATTATGATGATGATATGACAATTAGCATCTCCTCCTACTCCACTCCACTAAAAAAAAAAAGTAACGTGCGCGCTACGACCACGACGTTACTGTAGATCCTCGTCAATCATTTTCATCAGGCATCACATCACATCACATCATAACTATTACACAAAACGAGTAAATTGATTCTAGCCTTTGATCAGTAAACGAGTAGATAACCATCCAGTTACATGACGGCATTTTTGTAGCATGTGTTTAATGTTACCTCGTTCTTGGGTTGGCGCCAGCGGTCTTAAAACCCCATCCAGGTAAGGCTAGTATTCCCATTGAGAGTGTTGAATCTCGATTTTTTTTTTTGGAAAAATAAAGTAAATTGATATTGTTTCAATTAAAAATATAAACAATTTGATAGCTGGATTTTATTTCTAACAATCAAGTTTTTTATTTTTTTTATTTTCTTAACTTAAATGAGCTCATATCCTATCCCATATTAATGGGGTCTTAAAATAATTCAATGAATTATTGTATATTTTAAAGTTATGTTTAATATCTTAATTTTTAGACTAATTTTATCCGACTTAAATTTTAAGCTCGAACCTCATTAAAGAAATAACTTGATTAAATTATATATTAAAAAATAAGATGAAAAATTTAATTTTACAACAAATGTATTAGTGCAGTATATTTTATTGTTATATAAAAAATTTCAAGTAAATTATGAAAGCTCAAGAGATTCATTTAGCATTTATAGCTATAATTATTTTTTTTATTTATAGTTAAAATATTTTTTTCATCCTATAAAAAAATTTAATTTTAAAAGATACTCTTCCTTGTTTTTTTTTCTCCTTGTTATTTTTTGTTTTTCAAGGATAATAATTATCTTCAAATCAACTAACAAGTCAATTAAAATTAATTTTTTTTCTAAGCAATTTAAAAAACACATTAACGAATGATAATTATAGTGTTTTCAAAAGTTTATTTATTTGTTTTAAAAATTTTTTAATAAATAAATATTTTTAGTTTTTTATTTATTTTAAATTAATAAATATTAAATTTAATAAATAAATATTTTTATTTTTTTATTTATTTTAAATTAATAAATATTTAGTATTTTCAAATCATTTTGATATGCTGATATCAAAAATAATTTTTTTAAAATAAAAATAATTTATTAACATATATTTTGACATAAAAAGTTATTTGAAAAGTAAATATATCCACACTAAATTCAATCAATTTTCTAGATTGAAATCTTTTTAAAAATATTGATATGAATTTTAATTTTTTAAAAATAATAAAAAAATAAATCAGAGTGAAGACAGTAATTCCCTTAAAATTAATATTAAAAATAATATTTTCCTCTTAGCAGCACAAATGTTTTTATTCTTTATTTTTTCAAAAGACTCAAGAGTCTCTTTTTCGAACCCCCACTCTTAACAGCTTCCTGCAGACAAGGACACTGGAACGATGATCCTGTTGTCCCGTGTTTGGAATATTCCTGCTGTAGTGGATTTTAATCCTTTTGTTTTTATTACTAATATTTCTCTTCGGGTATTTCTTTCTCACTGGGTGAAGCTTGCTTGTTCTCATCCTCTGTGTTTTAATATATTTTTTTTAAATATAAAGATTTTATCAAGATATTAATGGAATTCAAGTGAAATATAAAATTAAATTAAATTTATTAAAAGACTGTTTGGAGCCATGTTTGGCGTTAAGAATTATTTCTTTTTAAACAGTATTAATGAAGATCATCTTCTTATCCTCAATCTCCCGTTTAATTTAATGAATTATTTTTATAAAAACATAATGATTTTAAACTTCTTATTATGTTGATGATCAAAGCATCGTCACCTCATCAACAAAACAAGAGGGTGAAGAACAGCTGAAAACAACGGGCGAGGAGGAGACAGTACAAGAGATTTTGGAAGGACAAATATAGTTCCCAAGGACGATTTTTATTCGTGTGAAAAGCTCGAGTCTTTAGGATTTTGAGCATGGAGAAACCAGACCTTTCTTTGGTCCCTCTCTGTGGGTAACTTCGATACAGAAATCAAGCTGATAAAAAAACAGAAAATATTAAAAAAAGAAAGAAAAGGAGAACCTTTGGTGATAAAAAGAAAAATTATTGGCCCACTTTCTTATCCTGAGTTACATCTTGATGGGATTAAATTTGTCAATTTATAAGCAGAGTAATTGCCGATGTTATCCTTGAAAATATGTAGTATGATGATAAAAAGTTTGGGATTTGAATAATAAATTTTGAATTTAAATTAGAGTGTATATTTTTTTATAAAAATGTGGGAAATTAGAGTTTTATTTAATTATCTAAATTTATAAAATATACTTTATAAGGAATAGAATTTCTTCGAATCAAATAAAAAAAGTAATAGCCAATGTTATCCGTGAGATCATGGATTTAAAAAAAAATTACTTTATAAGTGTTTGTTATTACCTTATAATCAGTTTTTGAAAAAGAGAAACTAAATTAATGTTTTTTAAATTTTTTAAGTGATTTTAATGAATTGATGTTAAAAATAAAAAAATTATAAAAAAAATTATTGAATTGATGTTAAAAATAAAAAAATCATAAAAAATATTATTTTAATATATTTTTAATTAGAAAATATTTTAGATGAAGAGTAAAGGCAAGTATATTTAATTACAACCTACACCCAGTGAAGATGCAAGTGGGATTTTATATTTTATTATTGGTAGCATATAGTAAATATAAAACATCGTATTCCAAGATGAGAAAAATTGCAATCCTTCTCCAATTTGAAGCATGATTTCTTATAACGTCATTCAAGATAATTTAATGGTTAGATTATTTTGAGATTGATTTTGATAAAAATATTTAGTACAATAAATACAGTATTATATGTCCATTAAAGTATACAAAAAAATTACTAAATCAATTAAAATTTATTTATTTTTAAATAAAGAGTATCTACAAATTTAGATATTAATTAAAACTACACACGATTAATTCTTATATAAATTAAGAGACACATTATTTATATCAATTTAATGCATTTAAAATATTTTATTATCAAATACCAATTCTAAAATTCAAACTAAAAATAACTAACATTAAAAAACAAAACCATCTTAATTATAAAAAGATCTAAATCAACACGGTTGCAGGTAGCTTTCATACATATTCAACCCCAACTCAATCATACCTGTATATGAGCATGCCTATTTATGATTACTGTTTTTCAAAAAAATATTTATTTAAAAATATACTAAAAGAATTTTTTTTGTTTTTGACATTAACATATCAAAATAATAACAAAATATTAATTTAATTTGTTTTGAAAAATAAATTTTTTATTTGTTTCAAATTAATATTTTTTATAGTTTTATTGATATTAAAAATAATTTTAAAAAAGTAAAAAAATATTATTTTAATATATATATATATATATATAAATCACTTTACCGGTGACGATTATTCTAATGTCTACACTGAAACGTGTTTCGCTTGCATCATAAATACTATAAAGGCCCTCAAACAATTCAGTACAAAAATGAGATGGGAACAAAAACAAATACAATCATATCTGTACTCCATTATCATGTAATTATTATTTCTTTCTCATTTCCATCTAAATTGACGTCAGCAAAATAGGACCTGGGCGAGTCATCAACTACGTCATGTAGGGACACAACATATCAAAATCCCATGGCCTTGAAAATTTGGTGGTGGGTAGTGTAAGAGACTTTATTATACATGGGACACATGAGATTGTCTTTAATTTCATGTGATCTGTTCATCAACCTTACCTAACGCGACTCAATCTAGTTATATTAACTTGAAAGAATCTCAATTTAAATAAAAAGAAACCATGAACTCAGCCAAATTTAATTGGCCTATAAGTTGATAACCCTACTCAATATGGTTAGATGATTATTAATATTTTTTTTTAAGGATTTAGATGTCATCATTCAGATAAAAAAAAATAATTGATTTTGATATTTTATAGCTCACCCAATAATTCAGTAATCCAAGTGCTTATCAAATTAGATTACAAGTCGAGCCAATAATTATACTTATTTTAAGTATATTTCTTTTTTATGAATATAATTGAAATTTATACATAGAATTTATTAAAAAAAATAGAAAAATACTGGACCACAAAAAAAAAAAAACACACACACACACACTCTTCGTCTTTTCTTTTTCCATGGATTTGCGTGGGAATAGTCTCTTCCTTTCTAGCTAGAAGAATAAAGGGCTAGAAAAGCTTTGAAACAATACTTGGTGGGATGAGGTCACTGGCTTCTTTTACCACTCGACAAGAAAAGAAGAGTAAGTCTTACAGTTGAACACAAAGTGAGTCAAGGAGGAGAATTGAATGAATTATTGCTGTGTTCACTGCTATCTTTCGTCTCCAAGTATGATCCATGAAATTGCTTCCACTCTCTGTTTTTGGATGCACTACAACAACATGACTGAACTACATTATATTTTAGAAACATCAGAGTATTGATTGGTGTCGCACAACACACGAATTTAGACTAGCGAGATTGTTACCATCTAATTTGATGTGCTAGTTCCTTTCAACTGCCACTACATTATTTTTCTGGGATGTGAATCCTGTATTGGAATTTGTTTGTTCTTGCGGCCGACAACGTTGAAAATAACAATATCGCGGCCGACCACGTGGTTGGCTGTGATAACAAAGGGCTCTTAATCCAGCAACTCCAAACCCAATCTTATGTTCTTGGCGATGGTGCTTCTGTTGCAGATTCTCCCCTTGAACTGCCCACTTCACTACCTGCTAAGTTGCAGCCAATAGGAAGCTTTTTTCATTTTGCTTTCCCCCCCTTAAGCCTGAACAGCAAGACCTGCACATCACCACTAATCCATCAGGATTGCTAACATGGAAATACTCCTGCCAAGTTCTTTCCTTACCCTTCCTTTTTCACTCCCTCGAGAGCAAAACTTCCCTGGTCACCAAAAGGTTATCTAACCCTGTCAGCTACTCCCTCCATCAATTGCTCTTGACTGGAGCACCTTGCTTCAGGGCCCAAAGCTAGTGATAAAAGGAAAGCTACACAATCCCACTCATTGCACACTTTCTGGAGCCCATTACCCGCAAGGATATCAGCTAGCTAGATAGCCAACAGCTACCAAATTCTCTACTCTGCTTGACCTCATACGGTCGGGGCTCATCAAGCATAGATTGCGATTAGCCAGTTGATACGACCAACAATCTTAATCCCCATATTGCATAGCTAAGCAGCAAGACTACATGATTGGAGACTCAAGACTTGGTAAGACTGTGATCCATGAGACAGGCTGGAAAGTCACCTTTGTGGAGGGAAAAGACACTCCACCAACACACCATCAGCTTGGCTGGAACCAAGTTTAGCTAGGAATGTCAATAATATCCCTCTCGCAGAACGAGACAAGTCAACAACACAATAATATCCCTCTCGCAGAACGAGACAAAAAAACTTGCTAATTCCTATCAAGAGCTTTCAAATGTCAGAAATCAGATTCCATCATGGGCGAAAGATAGCAGCATGAAATATAAGATTTACAGCATCTAAAATTGTTCTACTTGGCCCATAATCGACCGTAACCCATCCGCTATGCCATGCCCAAATATCAACTATACGCCAACAAACATAACATATTAACATGACAGTGTACTGAACCAATACCCAGGCTATTTTTAAAAAGACCAACATAACACACTTATACTTACCATTCAATTCTATCGTTTTGGTCCATCTACTGTTTTTTGGCTGATACAATCTGTCAATATCTATTGTTTGACAAATCCTATCTCATTGCTAATATTGCTATTATCAAACAAGACAGCTTACAGGTCCTGACTTAAGTTACATGGCGTCCTTCCTCTGTCTTTTCTTACCACAATCTCTCCGCTACTATTGTTTGACAAATCCTATCTCAGCGTTAACACTGGTGTTAGCAGATGCATACATGATGGAGACAGCTTCCATGTCTTGACAGAGGTTATCATGGCATTTATATTTTCAAACTGATATTGCAACCTCAGTATGATTGTTAAGCGAAATTCTACGACATCTACACCTTTTTCCGATAATAACTAATAAGTCCTATATAATGCATGATAAATAGTCCAGACTACAAAAAAAAAATAAAAAAAAAATCAATGCAACGTTTAAGAAACCTAACAAAAACGACACTTACTGAATGGCCCAACTCTTAAATTAAGCAGCCTATTCATATATAAAGAGAAATTCTTGAGGTCTTTGCAGAGAAAAGCTGAAAGTAAACATCCAAATAACAGCACTTGATAGGCAGATTTAAGCATTGAACAAAGCGGTGGCTGAATATTAGCACTCCTTTAGCATGCACCGAATAAATCATCAAATGTCTAAGATAGCTAGCTAACTGAAATATCATCATCTATCCTAGAACTCCCGCTAGATTATCCGGCATCAAGTACCCTTTTCTCCTGGACCACCTAAACGTGACATTCCAGACAAGATGAAAAAACATCTGCCTCTGAATTTTTTACATATCAACCGCATAAGCTCATTGACAAAGAAATTGAGCAAATACCCTAACAAAATCAGACATGATGACAGGCATCCATGAAAGCAAAAGGAAGCTTTTGTTAAGTAGATAAAGCAAAAAATCTTCTAAATGATGATGAAACATCAATAGTTATATTCCAAATGGTGCCAAGATCTTTGCTTTCATCTGAAGAGAGCCTAAACCAAGAGTCAGGGACACCTAACTGGCATAGCAGTTCAATCCTTCTAAAAAATAAAAACCCGCCAAATTGCATCAAACACACAGAAATCTCAACTCAAGGAACAAATAAAAACCATCAAGGTTCAACTTTTAACCACCAATCTTGTTCCAAAAACACACATTTGAACTCTAAATCAATCAAAGCTGTCATTAAAATGTACCAAAAGTAGAGCATAAAAATGCAATAAGTCCTCCAACGTTCCAATTATTATTAATCGTCATCATTCGAGACGACTCAAAACATAACAAAGATGCCACATTCCATCGAAGAACTTTAAGAAGTAGAAATCTTTAACTGCTAAAACCACGTTTCTGGTAACGAGCAACCTCACCCTCATTAGGGAAAAAACCCATAAGCCTCCCAGCAGAGTTCTGATAAGCATACATAAAACCACCCATTAAACCAATCAACCCTCCTGTCACCATTGATGGTCCCTTAAGCCCTGGCTTTATCCCTATTAGAAACAAACAAAAAAAACAAAAACCCATTTGCATATGAGTAATTTCGACATAAACAAGCTAAAAGAAGAGCTATAGACGTGAAATTTGTACCTGAGAGGTAGCCGACAGTGACAGAGACACCAGTAAGGGTGATGAAACGACAGTAATCAAGGGTGTTGAAGTTGCCAACAACCTTAGTGAATGCTGGGTTTCGATCTATTACCGGGTACTCTGGTTTTGCTGATGCTGTGATGTCTGTGTTCATTTTCCGGTCTTGATTTTTTTTTTCTTTTACTTTGCTTGAGTTGTTGTTTGCTGCTCCCTCTCTCTCGATATGCAATTGTGTTTGGGGAAACCTAAGAATCCCCCATCCCAACTATATAGATAGTGTCAATTTTAATCCTAAACATTGTTTTTTCTTAAATCTTACCCCCCAATTTTCCATTCATACTTGTAGGATTGCATCCCAGTTGTATCTTTTAGTGAGAAACAACGTTTTTTTTCTTCCATAAATTATCATTTTATGTTAATTAAATCTAATAAAAAATTTTAATTGAGAAATCAAAATATTTTTTAGAAATAGAACTAATATAAAAAATATTTTAAGAAAAAATAAATATTATACAAATTTAATATATTAATCTAGTGATATATTAACTTAGAGTTTAGATTATATTAAATTTAATTTTAAATATCAAAATAATCTTATTTTAATTAAAAAAATAACCAACTCACAAGATCAAATCCAAAGATAAATCTAACAAGTATGCTTGTGTTATAGTGTTTTTTAGAGGGTGTTTAGAAGTTCAATAACACTTATTTTTTAAAATGTTTTTTATTTAGAAATGAATTAAAATAATATTTTTTTTTAAATATTTTAAATAAAATTATATTAAAATAATTTAAAAATAAAAATAATTTTTTTAAAAAACAATTTTAAAACATAAAAATAAACAATACCTTTAACCTGCGCCTTGGAATCAAAGAATGATTCAAGTACTTAATTGGGCCATTGCAGACATGGTGGATGAGTTCATCATGTTAACTTGGCCCTTCATATGCCGAAGGGATATATTCCGAGCATGGTAGGGTTTCCTCAGGAGTTTGAATAATAAGAAAGACTGAGAGATATGATCTTTCTTCTTAATGTACCCATTTAAGTTTGAAATTTAATTTTAATAGCCGTAAGCTCAGCTCAAGATTTTATTTTCATTCTTCAGTCCGTTGTCTAATTTAATTAAGAGACTTACTTGAAAAAAAGTTTGAGTTGATATACATGTTATTGAATTAACTATTTTTATGAAATTGATATGGTTTTGTACTTCTTGTTTTATTTTTTTCTAAAAAATCAAATTTAATCACGTTAATCATATCATTAAAAATCTAGACAGATAAATTACCTTTCATCAAGTTAATATTTGCTTTGATTTAATTAAAAATTCAGTATGAAATTAAAATCAATTGGTTACAATTTTTATTTTATTTTAATGTATATGTTGTGGTATTTAATATCATGTGCCTATTTTATGTTGGAGTTTAAATATATTTTATGGATATATTTTTTATTTTAGTGGATAAAACATAAAATACCAAAGGTGTACTTAGTTATTTATTTTATCAAAATTCCTAACTAGAAAAGTCAATGATTGGAAGAGTTAAAAGATCGACATTAACAGAGTGCAATTTATATTGTGATTAATTTTAGCTAAGAAGTCCATATATAATTATTGATTAAAAACTCATTTTTTCTCTACTTGACTTTCTTTTCCTTTTGTCTTGCACGTTGATGTAATTCAGAATATCAAATTCCTTTATTTCAAATTTAATCATATATATTGAGAATATCATGTTGGGAAGGGTTCAGAACGTGTATACAAACTCTTCGATGAAAGTAAGCTAGTGATCATACTAACAATAATATAGTAGTAAGTACTCTTCTAATATTAATTAGGTTACCAAAAAAGTTTACGAGATTAATGTTTACAGATGAAGAGAAGTATCAATATCATCATCATCAGTTGCAGAGGCATCAAATTTATCTAGCACACCAAGCTTAGAAGGAGTTTTCGTAGAAGATAAACTCATCAAGGCCGGGGTCTCCTCACACCAAAAGCCGGCCTGCTTGCTCTGTGGGTTTGGCCAAAGAGAGAGACATACATGGGGTGGTGACCTCGGTTGAAGGATCAATTCTGGGTGAAAGAACAGCCGGTTATTGACTGCTGCTGGCTCATGATATTGCATGGTGGGACTTAGCTGTGTGGTACTCTCCACATGTATATTTCTTGATAGCTCCTTTTCCTCCCTCATTGCTTTCACTCTTTGTAATTGCCTGAATCTCTCTTGCAATAAAGCGATAGAGGATTGAATGACAATAGGATCACTATTTTCCTTGCCCATCTGAGAAGAAGGATTGTTTTTGGCTCTCTCAGGGGTTTTTGAGCTATCGAAATGTGTGGTGACGATGGAAGTGATGAAGTCTAAGGAGGCTTGAAAAGCATTACGTGTGTATTTATAGTATGGTGGCATGGTTACTATTGAGATGTATAAATTAATATATGACACATTTATTTTTTCAATAAAATTCTAAATGATTTAGTAAAGGAACGAGAATCGGCAGCCAAGTTGCAAAATCCAAAAAGAAAAGGTTGTGAATCCAATCTAAGAGGAGGAGTTTCTTGGTTAAGTGTAATGAGGGTAGAGGCAAAGTAGAAAAGGGTAAAAAGAAGGGTCCAAAAGCATGTTGAAATTAGCAAATGGAAGGGTATGTTTGGAGGAATAAGAGGTTGTATGATACCCTGCCAGCATGCCCTAGAAACCCTTTTTAGCTTTGGAGATGATGGAGCCTTTTTCTCTTTTGTCGATGGGGTTTTGGATGTTTACCATTTGGGTTCACAAGCACTTCTCCTACCTTTTGAATGCTTCCCTTTGTTGTAGGAAAGAAATGGGAGGGGTGTGAAGGGTACAAGACAAGGGTTAGAAGAGGGAATAATCTTTTTAGGAGCTTGTAATTTCTTGATTTGAACAATAATGTGTTGACAAGGAACAAGGTTCCCAACATTCTCACTCTTTAGATATATTATTTTGTCTTCAATTTGTTGGATTGGTATGGCATGCAATACTGAAAGCTGCAGATGCTAATATATATTAGTGATAGATTGGATGCTTCTTTTTTGCAACATCAAGCCTCCCACCTTGAGTTGTTTTTATTTCTTTTGGTGTTTCGAAATTTGAAGGGTGAATCGAGAAGATAGAACATTTTCTAGAGTTTTTAGCCAAGGCGTGCAAATGGGGATTTTTATTATATGCTTGCATGCCCTTTTGCATCAGGAATAAAGAAATGAAAAGGGCACACTGTAGGTGGATTTGTGGCATGTCTTTGTTGTCATCTTTTCAGGTGACCGGGTAAGCATAATCTATGAACATATCGATGGATGATTTTTTTTTGTAATTCATGGGTAATATTTAGAGATTAAAAGAATGATATCTAACAAAGATGAGATGTAATATCAGATAAGATTATACATTAATTTATTACAAAGATTGGTCTAATAAGGCATGCATCACCTCTCAGAAAAAATATTTGGTGACAATTATTGATGAAACATTATTGCATATGCATGATAGTACTCCAAGACAACTGAACTGGTGTCGTAAGAGCTTGTCCTAATGATATTGAAAAGATGGTAGCAGTCGATAACCTGGAAACAATCATGGCTAGCTCTGGTTGGATGAATTTCTGAAAGTTTTCGGAGGCGCATCGACTGCATTTTATGATGTTCGGTAAAGGGCTCCAAGTTCCATCGCAAAACATGAGGTCTTGGTGGTCTCCTGCCATTCTTGTTCCCCAGTCTGCCTTTACAAGGCCGATGTCTGCTGCTTGTCTCAATGCTGGAGTGTCATGTAGATTATTAGCTACAATCAGTGCAGCCACATCTCGTTTCTTCTTCAAGCATTGCCACAGAAGAAGCTTATCAGATGGGAGACAGTCGCCTGTTACAGTGATTTTGATGCAGCAGGAACTTAACAGTAGATATGGATGTAATGAATAAAAAACCATATGGAAAGCGTAGCAGATATATTTATGAACTAGATAAATCTGGGTATGCCTGATGATCTACTTGATGGAAATAGATATGATTTTTGATAATTTACTAGTAAATTTTACAAACTCACTTCTGTAGTAGACCAATTGAATATAACAAGTCAACACCAAGAAAACCTTCAAATTAAGCTAAGAAGCTGTTTCTATTTCAGTTTTTTTATTTTTTCCCTCTTTAATTTTGGATTTTAACTTTTATTTTTTTATTTGAATAGGATTTCATTTTTTTTCTGGTCAAGATTAGTTATATAGCTATTTAAATTGTTGTCATTGTAATAATATTTTAAAATCTAAATACTTAGAAATAATATCTTTTGGTAATTAAATTATAGGTTAATCAAGTATTTATTCAAGTAAATTCACTCTCCATGGTAAAGAAAAATAATCTATTATTAAAAGAATCTCAATATATGAAAAAGAAATCATCTTGAGGTGAATTTGGAAAGCTTGTATATTATACTAAGTTAGTATCTTTATAGAATATAGAATAAAATAGTAATAAATATATTATTAAGTTCTAAAAACCAAGTTATTTCTTCTTGTTCTTAGGATGAAATGGATGTTGTGTAAAAAAAATAATATGTGCATGTTGAAATAAAAATTATGATCTTTTTATTTGATCTGAGTAATTCATGGAGTTTTTATATTTCTATAAATCTTGTATTTTTGTTTTTAAAAGAGTTATTTTATTTTGTAATATAAATATTTATGAGATAAATATTAATAATAAATTTTTGTACACCTAAC